CCCTGAATTCCCTTCAGCCAGTGAGGGATCGGTGATGTCATCCCAAGGAGAGGGTACCTTGGGGATTCCCTGAGCTGGCCTGCGCTGCTGACAGGTGTGGGGGAATCCTTGAAGCACCAGCCATGTCCGGAAAGCAAGACCCACCTATCCCCAGACACACACCCCTGCCCTGACCAGGACAGGACAGCAGGGGGCGCTATTAATCTCGAGTGATACTCTGACCCCTTAAACTCCGCTGCCATGCGTAATATCTTTGTAATATTATGCCATGCGTAATATCATGTGTAAGGCGGTTGGATGGGGTCTTGTAGGCCGCCTTCCGGCAGCTCCTGCAGCCAAGCTGGTGCCAAACATCCTGCTCTGCTTTCCTTTGCACCACATCAGCAAGGCCAAGAAAGAGGTCTTGTCTTCTGGGCTGCCCAAGATATCCGTGCACACTGCCCAGGCTTGCGCCCCGGGGAGCTCACTTGGATAGCTGCTAATGCAGTGATTTGACTTCACCCCGGAGGCGCACTCCATTGTCTCTTGAGACAGACAGGTGCCAACGGCTGTAGTGGCAGGGAGGGCAAGTCATTGTTTTGGAGACCTTATACCAGAGGTCGTCAAACTAAGGCCCGTGGGCCAGATACGGCCCAATCGCCTTCTCAATCCGGCCCGCGGATGGTCTGGGAATCAGCGTATTTTTACATTAGTAGAATGTGTCCTTTTATTTAAAATGCATCTCTGGGTTATTTGTGGGGCATAGGAATTCATTCATATTTTCTCCAAAATATAAACCGGCCCCTCACAAGTTCTGAGGGACAGTGGACCGGCCCCCTGCTGAAAAAGTTTGCTGACCCCTGCCTTACACCTTTCAGGGTTGCCTTCTTCTTGGCCCGATGCCCTTCAGCTGTTTTGGGCTACAACTCCCATCAGGCTGCTGACTGGGGCTGATGGGATTTGTAGTCCAAAGCACTGCCCCCGTCCTACTGAGTTGCCTGGAGCAGCAAAGTTGGGCGTGTCTTTGCATTCAGCCAAGTTCAGCCAGCAGGCTCTGCTGCGAGGTAAAACAACCCCGTTAGGTAGTCCAGCAGATGAGGAAGAGGAGGAGATGGAGGGAAATGGTGTCTGTCTCAAGACCACATGGATTGCCTGTAGGTGGGGCCGAGGTGAGACTTGACTCAAATCAGTGACTTCTCTTTCTGTGGAACATACCCTGTATGGTATGTTCATTTTACATACCATAAGGTAACCCCTGACTGTTAGGTCCAGTCGTGGCTGACTCTGGGGTTGCGGCGCTCATCTCGCTTTATTGGCCGAGGGAGCCGGCGTACAGCTTCCGGGTCATGTGGCCAGCATGACTAAGCCGCTTCTGGCGAACCAGAGCAGCGCACAGAAACGCTGTTTACCTTCCCGCTATTTATCTACTTGCATTGTGACGTGCTTTCGAACTGCTAGGTTGGCAGGAGCAGGGACTGAGCAACGGGAGCTCACCCCATCGCGGGGATTCGACCACCAACCTTCTGATCGGCAAGTCCTAGGCTCTGTGGTTTATCCCACAGCGCCACCCGCATCCCTTTACATACCATACATTCCTGCATATTTTACATGAACTAATCCATTCGGTAATCCATTGTTGCAGCCATCAAAACTTACTTACACTGTTGAATTTATTGTAATGCTTTTTTATTGTCTTGCGATTGGGGGGGCGGGCTCCTCGATAGCTTTTGACCAGCCCCTGCCCCCTTCTCTCCCCACAACCCCAGGTAAAGAGACCATGCTGCGGCAGAAGGACTACGAGACGGCCACCCTGTCGGATATCAAGGCCCTGATCCGGAAGCACGAGGCTTTTGAGAGCGATCTGGCGGCTCACCAGGATCGTGTGGAGCAGATAGCGGCCATCGCGCAGGAGCTCAAGTACGCTGTTCCCCAGGCCTCCCCCCCCCCGGCAAAAGCAACTCTTTTTCTGGAGTCACCTCCACCCAGGCTATGCCCATGAGCACACATAATATTGGGACTGGGGGCGCCGTCACATCCATGACCGGCTTGTGGGCTGCTTTCCATTGGGGCATCTGTTCGGCCACTGTGAGAACAGGAATGTTGGGCTGGACGGGCCCTTGGCTTGGTCCACCCGCCAGGTTCTTCTGTTCTGAGCTTGGCCTTGAATTCCAGCCAGTTAAATAAATATAAATAAATTTTTATATATACCCCGCCCTTCCCGGTTCAAAAACTGGGCTCAGGGTGGCGAACAAATTTAAAACACCTACCGTATTTTTTGCTCTATAAGACGCACCCGACCATAAGACGCACCTAGTTTTTGGAGGAGGAGAACAAGAAAAAAAATATTCTCTTCCTCTCCGCGCAGCGCCCCTTCAGCGAAGCGGCAGGAGAAACGGAGCCCCTTCCATTTCTCCTCCCGCTTTGCTGAAGAGGTGCTGCGCAGAGAGGGAAAGCTGTGCAGCGCCTCTCCAGCGAAGCGAAGCCAGGAGAGCAAGAGGGATCGGTGCGCACCGATCCCTCTTGCTCTTCTGGCTTCAGCAACACCTGCGCAGCCTGCATTCGTTCCATAAGACGCACACACATTTCCTCTTACTTTTTAGGAGGGGGAAAGTGCGTCTTATAGAGCAAAAAATACAGTAATTGTAAAAGCAGCATAAAATACAGTAGAAAAAATACAGTTCTAGGGCAGGTGTTCTCCAAACTCAGGCCCCAGGCCAGGAAGAACTTCCTGGCGCTAAGAGCTGTCCGGCAGTGGAACGGACCACTTTGGAAGATGGCACTGCCCTTCACTGGAGGTTTATTATGCAAGAGTTTGGACGGACATCTGTCAGGGATCCTTTACCTGCAGTTCCCGCATTGCAGGGGGTTCGGCTAGATGACACTTGGGGTCCTTTCCACCTCTGTGGTTCTGCATCGGTGGACTACAACTCCCATCATCCACAGCCGTCTTAGATCAGAGATCAAGGATGGTGGGAGTTGACGTCCACCCACATCTGGGAACCCAAAGTTGAATGAAACCACGACGCTCGGAGCAGCCTCCTTGCTGAAACTATCAGACAGCCGCTCTTAAGCCAGGACACTTGTGGCTTCCTCCTGAGCCAGTCCTCTGGCCTTCTCGAGCCCAGACAGTAAAAATCCCAATTTCGGTCACTCTGGGCTGTGTGTGTGTGTGCGCACATGCACATTTATGCCGTAAGATTTTCCTGCACCCTGTGTAAAGGAAACATCAGCAGCCTCCGGGCCCTTTAGAAAGCTTCCCAGCCGCCATTCCATTGCACCGCCCAGGCCCACTTGTGTGTGACTTGTGTGTGACTTGAACCGTCTTGCAGCAAGGGGGGCAACACAAAGAGACACTGTGTGATATTTTTGGCAGGTCCAAAATAGCAACCTCACCGCCCCTTTCCGTTTGTCACTGAGAATCCCTTTCCAATGCGTCTTTGGCTCCTGCACAGAAACGGCTGGGATCACCTCTCCTTTTGGAAAGAGTTCCTAAAAGAGTGTTCTCTTCCACTTGCACACACACACACACACACACACACACACACACGAGATACACAGTGCCCCTATTGTTCTCCTTCCCTCCTCCCTTTGTGTGACACCAGAATGTGCTTATTGTAAGAGTTTGCTGCAAACTTCTTCGTCCTCCCCCCCTTCTCCCTCTCCCGTCCCCCCAACTCGGATAAACTCGCGCACAATTAGTACACACACAGGCGAGAGCCATGAATAGCGGCTCTTATTCCCGTGGCTGGGAATGGCAGGGAACTTGGAAACATGGATGTGTGTGGCCCTGCGGCATGGCTTCGTGGGGGAGAGAACACACACACAAACGCCTCTCTTGCAAAGGAAAAAAAGCCTTGAAATAGCGAAAGCGCCATTTGAAGGCCGCCGAAGCCTTTTCACCCTACATCTGTTGCTTCGGGAGTCGCTAGGCAATAAATACCCTTTTCTCCCACCCCCTCGTCATGAGTTAGACACGGATCTGAGGTTAGGGGTGTTCTGCCTGAAACCAGGCACCCTGTTTCCCCCGCATGTCTTGTTGCTGTGGCTCCGCTGGCCCACTCCCAAGGTATTTCGCTTGGCAAACCTCCCGGCTTTTCTTTCTCCATCCCAAACGTGTAGCGACATGCAGACTTCCAGAGGAACTCTGCTAAAAACTTTGCATTCAGGCTGGGGGGGAGGTGTTGGCTGGGAACGTGCCGCTGTTGGGGCTGGGCGCTGGGCGGACTGGGCCGGGCCACCCTACCCCCCAGAGACTTTGGGGGAGAGCTCCCAACCCGTCCGTCTGGTGGGCAGAGAGCCTTGAAAGGGGGAAGCAGCCCCCTCTGGTGCCCGAGAGCTGCCACTGTGTAGGTTGTGCAGCAGCCGGGCTCAGGGAGGAAATAGATGCATGGCGTCTCTCGCACCCGGTTGCTGCTTTCCTGCATATCCGCCTCCCCAGCCCGGCTCATGGCAGTACAGTTGTACCTCTGGTTGTGAACGGGATCCGTTCTGAATATTCCGCACGATTGTGTGTGAGTGCGCTTGGCTTAAAGTTGAGGTAGCTGGCAAACCACAGTTGCAGCTGTGATTCTAGCCCTCACTGTTGCATGCAGAAGAACATGCAGAAGTCAGATCTGCAGGAGTGAGTGATCTCAGCACCGCACAACTCCCTGGACCAGGTGGTTATCACCTAGCTTCCTGCTCTCAGACAGGAATCTCTCTAGGCCAGGGATGGCCAAACTTGGCCATCCAGATGTTTTGGGACCACAATTCCCATCATCCCTGACCACTGATCCTGTTAGCTAGGGATGATGGGAGTTGTAGTCCAAAAACAGCTGGAGGGCCAAGTTTGGCCATCACTGCTCTAAGCCAACCTTCACAAACCCTCCTCTGGGTGTTTTTGACCACAACTCCCATCATCCTCAGCCAGCACAGGACTGTTATCTAAAACATCTAGAGGGCACCCGGTTGGCAAAGGCTGCTCTAGGCATTAGCCCACTATAATCGTGGAGTTGGAAGGGACCCTGAGGGTCATCTAATCCAACCCAACGTGGGGCTCGAACCCACAACCCTGAGACTGAGAATCTCGTGCTCTGCTAACGGAGCTATTTGTTCCAATAATTAAAAGACCACAGGTGTGCTCTAAGCAGAGATCACGACTTCTGCAACAACAGAGAGCCTTAAGAATATCATTTGGTTGTATGAAGGCCGTAGAGCTTGGCCCCACTGGCGTGGCCCCGAGTAATGCCCCCTTTCTCTCTGCCCTGCAGTGAGTTGGACTACTACGACTCGCCCAGTGTCAACACCCGGTGCCAGAAGATCTGTGACCAGTGGGACTCGCTAGGATCCTTGACCCACACACGGAGGGAAGCCTTGGAGGTGAGCCAGGAGGCTCCTGTAGCTTGCCCTGACCTTCGGCAGGGGGTAGTCGGCGCTGTGTCATGTGACCCGATCACCTGACCCATTTCTCTCCTGCACAGAAAACAGAGAAGCAGCTGGAGACCATTGACCAGCTCCACCTGGAATATGCCAAGCGGGCAGCGCCCTTCAACAACTGGATGGAGAGCGCCATGGAGGACCTGCAGGACATGTTCATCGTCCACACCATCGAGGAGATCGAGGTAGGAGGAGGGGGTGGAAGGTCACCCGGCGCAATTCAGTTGCCCTAGGAACATGCCGGCCAGTCATCAAAGAGAGAGCTAACTCTTTGTTAGCAAAACACAATCCCTGCAGGCTTTGTTGACTGCAGAGCAGCTCATTTTTCCTCCGTGAAAATCAGTTGCCGAGACTGAAAGGCCCTGCCTCTCACCAGGGCTTTCCCCCAAGCAATTGGAGACTGTGCCTGTTGTTGTCGTTTAGTCGTTTAGTCGTGTCTGACTCTTCGTGACCCCCTGGACCAGAGCACGCCAGGCACTCCTATCTTCCACTGCCTCCTGCGGTTTGGCCAAACTCATGCTGGTAGCTTAGAGAATGCTGTCCCACCATCTCGTCCTCTGTCGTCCCCTTCTCCTTGTACCCTCCATCTTTCCCAACATCAGGGTCTCTTCCAGGGAGTCTTCTCTTCTCATGAGGTGGCCAAGGTATTGGAGCCTCAGCTTCAGGATCTGCCCTTCCAGTGAGCACTCAGGGCTGATTTCCTGAAGAATGGATCGGTTTGATCTTCTTGCCATCCATGGGACTCTCAAGAGTCTCCTCCAGCACCATAATTCAAAAGCATCCATTCTTCGGCGATCAGCCTTCTGTATGGTCCACCTCTCACTTCCATACATCACTACTGGGAAAACCATAGCTTTAACTATATGCACCTTTGTTGGCAAGGTGATGACTCTGCTTTTTAAGATGCTGTTTACTGTGCCTACATGCAGCCAACCTCTCCTCCGCCCTTTTCACGCCTCTCCTGGTTCTGGGAATCAGGGGAGAAGGGGAGCTTGTCACAGCAGCAGGAGGACACACCAACCAGACTCATCTCGGCCTCTTGGCCTCCCTCCTCTCCAGCCTCTTGATTCTGAACTTCTTTCTGCCACAGACTCTCCCTGCTCACTAAGCCCTGTCACCCATTTGGCCTCTGACACCTCCTCTTCCTGGTCATCTCCCTCTCACCACTTGTTCCAACCACCCCATGACACCAGTTCAGAGAATCTTGGGTCCCCAGGACTGGGGAAGATCACCTGAGGCTTGGGGGACCCATCACCTTAAAGCAGCTTCTTGCATCCTGACTTGGTATAAGACAGGTTTATATGCCTGTACATGAAGCTGCTTTCATGTGGCTTTAAAAGCCAAACAGAACTTGACAGATGGCGCTTTGCAGCGTTGTAGAGTTTGAAGGGATCCGAAGATTTTAATCTAGTCCAACGCCCTGCAAGGCAGCTAACAAATCCCTTTTTTCTCCCAGGGATTGATTGCAGCCCATGATCAGTTCAAGTCCACCCTGCCCGACGCGGACAAGGAGCGTGAGGCCATCCTGGGTATCCAGAGCGAAGCGCAGAAGATTGCAGACTACAACAACATAAAACTCTCCGGGAACAACCCGTACACTTCGGTCACTCCGCAGATCATCAACTCCAAGTGGGAAAGGGTGCGTGGAGATGTCTGGGTGGTGTCACGAATCCAGGCAGAGTCCTGGAGGGAGATGGGGGGCGGCCAGCTGAAGTGGCCCACGGCCAGTTTGGCTGGTGGGAGACGCTGGGGGCTGATGATCCAAGTCTTTCTGTTCTCGTTTTCGTTGGAGCAGGTCCAGCAGCTGGTGCCAAAGAGGGACCACGCCCTGCAAGACGAGCAGAGCAAGCAGCAGTCCAATGAACATCTGCGCCGGCAGTTTGCTAGCCAGGCCAACATTGTGGGGCCTTGGATCCAGACCAAAATGGAGGTGAGGGTGCTCTGCCCGCTGCTCCCCGCTTGCTGCTCCCCGCTTGCCCCACAGGGGAATTTGGAGAGGTGCAGGGAGGAGAGATTTCCGTTTTGTTTCATTTTCACTATCAATTCGTATACCGCCTTTCTTGTAAACACAAGGCAGTTTACAAGCCTGCAAGATACACAGCAAAGATCACACGCCTAATAGCAATCATACCCACTTCTTTAAAAACTCATAATAAAAGCATACAGTGGTGCCTCACAAGACGAAATTAATCTGTTCCGCGAGTCTCTTCATCTTGCGGTTTTTCCGTCTTGCGAAGCACGGCTATTAACGGCTTAGCGGCTTTAAGAAAAAGGAAACAAACTCGCAAGAACTCACAAGACGTTTCGTCTTGCGAAGCAAGCCCATAGGGAAATTCGTCTTGCGGAACGACTCAAAAAACGGAAAACTCTTTCATCTTGCGCGTTTTTCGTCTTGCGAGGCACCACTGTAAGTTAAAAATAAACAACTTGAATAAAGCAATATTCATCAGTCCATTAGAATACAGTGGTACCTCTGGTTGCGAACGGGATCCGTTCCAAAGGCCCATTCACAACTTGAAAGGAATGCAACCCGCGTCTGCACGTGTGCGGGCCGCGATTCGCCGCTTCTGCGCATGCGCATGACGTCATTTTGTGTGTCTGCGCATGCGCGAGCGGCGAAACCCGGAAGTAACGCTTTCCAGTACTTCCTGGTCGCCGTGGGACGCAACCTGAAAATGCTCAAGCTGAAGCAAATGCAACATGAGGTATGACTGTATAACAGTATACAGTTAATTTAAATACCGGCAAATAATAATTAAACAGTTTACACTTATCAGTTAGAATAAAGAATTACTAAGGTGTAATCAATAAAAATAACGACAGGACGCAATGCATAAAATAACCACGAAACCAGCATCAAATTGAGAAACGAGGGCACACAGATGACGAAAATGTTTTTTGAAAATATCCCTGAACTCCTCCTCCCTTCCCAGCTGCTTTTGCTGTTCTCATAGTCAAGGTCTGGGAAAGGCTCTCAGGTTCTGGAGGGTGGGGCAAGGCGGGTGGAAAAAGCTGGAGCTCTGGAGCATCGGTACAGTGTAAGAGCCAACAGTGAGACGTGTGAGCCAGGAATCGCCCGTCACTCACCATGGGCTCTGCTGCTCTGAGAGCCTTTTGGGCTGGTGTAGCGGACTTACAGTATAACACTAGTGCCTTCCAGGTCTAAAAGCCAGGCGGTCAAGCTAGTTCTGGGCAGGATCTCTGCCTGCCCAGCCTGTTTGCCCTGACACGGCTCCACCTTCTTCTCTCCCCCCTCCGCCAGGAGATCGGGCGCATCTCCATCGAGATGAACGGGACCCTGGAGGACCAGCTGGATCACCTGAAGCTGTATGAGCAGAGCATCGTGGATTACAAGCCCAACATCGACATCTTGGAGCAGCAGCACCAGCTCATCCAAGAGGCGCTCATCTTCGACAACAAGCACACCAACTTCACCATGGAGGTGAGGGCAGCGTGGGGACGCTCTCTTGGCCAGCTAGCCAGACAACCGGCCGCTCTGGGGGTTTTTTTTCTGGCAGTTTGCATGCTGGGGAAATGGGAGTCGTGGAACAGGCCTTGCAAAGCTGATACAGTGGTACCTCGGTTCTCGGAACGTCTCCGTTGGCGGAAGTTTCGGAACCCGAACGCAACGAAAACCTGGAAGCAAATGCTTCCGTTTATGAATGCGCATTGGAAAATGAACAGCTTCCACTGCGTGCTTTTCAATTTTCTCAACTGAATCTGCAGGCAGCCCTTTGCGCCTTGGTTTTCGGACGTCTCGGAACTTGAACGGTCTTCCGGAACGGATTTACGTTCGAGAACCAAGGTACCACTGTAGCTGCTTTTTTCAAAGCAGTAACTCACCCTACGTGGGGCTGACCCAGAAACTCCAGCGGGTGCAGAATGCCGCGGCGAGACTCCTTATGGGGTCCTCGCCGTGGGATCACATTCACCCAGTGCTATACCAGCTGCACTGGCTCCTGGTGGAGTACAGGATCAGGTTTAAGGTGCTGGTTTTAACCTTTAAAGCCCTCTACGGCCTAGGACCCTCGTACCTATGGGACCGTCTCTCCTGGTATGCCCCGCGGAGGACCTTACAGTCTTCAAACGAAAACATCTTGGAGATCCCGGGCCACAGAGAATTTAGGCTGGCCTCAGCCAGAGCCGGGGCTTTTTCGGCCGTGGCCCCGATCTGGTGGAACACTCTGTCACAAGAGACTAGGGCCCTGCGGGACCTGACATCTTTCCACAGGGCCTGCAAGACAGAGCTGTTCCACCAGGCCTTTGGCCAAGGCACAGTCTGACCCCCTCTCTCCTTCTGTAATCCTCATAGAACTCTAGCCTAATGGTTGCCATTAATTTGATTTTTGAATTGATTTTAAAATGAATTGATTTTAGAGTGTTGTGTTACTTTTATTGTTGCTAGCCGCTCTGAGCCCGGCTTCAGCTGGGGAGAGCGGGATATAAATAAAAAATTATTATTATTATTATTCAAAGAATAAATGGCACAGACAACAATGATAAAGTACTTCAGTTGAAGCCATTTGGAAACATATAAGAAGGCAGCAGCGTCTCAAGCCCAGGGAGAGTTTCCAGGGCTGGCTGCCAGTTTTAGGGTTTCGGGCTTGCACCAGCTGGGCTCGTCTTCCTAGGCCCTTTTGCTGAGTGGGGAAGGCTTTGATTCGGGGGGGGGGGGGT